GCTAGCAGGGGGCTGCGGGTTGGGAGTGAGGGGCACTGGCAGAGCTGTGGGGGGCAGGGCTGGGGTAGCAGGGGGCTGCGGGTCGGGAGTGAGGGGCACCGGCAGGGCTGGGCTAGCAGGGGGCAGCTCGGAATCGGGCTCTGGGCCCCCTGGGCTAAGCTCTGGCTGCCAGCGAGGTGGGCACTGAGTCTGGGGAGCAGCTCTTCCCTCTCCCCGGCAGGGTTGTGGCTGGGCCCTGCTGGTTGCTCTGCCGGAGGCCGTGGCCCGTAACGTGACCGGGCAGCCCGGCCAGTCCCTGGAGCGCCCGGCAGGGCCGCCGGGGTGGGGGGATCGCGGCTGGGATGTGTCCCTGAGCCCAGGGAGAGACGGGGCAGGCCTGTCTGGGCGGGCGCCTGGCGTGCTGCCGAAGGGCTTTGGCACTCTGAGGGCCCTGGGGGGGAGCCGGCCTGGAGTCGGCGGGGGGAGGGAGAGGTGAGAAATCCGTAAACCCCACAGCAGGTCGGTTCTCCCACTGGCCTCCCCTTGGGGTCACCTTGTCTGTGCTGGGCCAGGAGCTGCCCAGAGACCTGGCCCAGATGGCAAACCCGTCTCTAGCGTGGAGCTGCTGTTGGCCCAGTGCCCGGCTCAGCCCTGGACTGGCTCTGTGGCGGGGGCAGACGGTGGCTGAAGGTGCCAGGCGTGCCATGACCCTAGGGAGCCAGCGGGCACTGATCTGACCGGGGAGGTTGGTGTCCAGCCAGTCACGTAAGGCCTTAACTAGCCGTCAGTGTGCCCGAGGGCGGGAGTGCCAGCCGGCCGGGTCGCTTGGGAAACCTTCAGCCCCTGCTGCTCCGGATCCTTCTCCTGGAAGGGTTCCCAGCTGGACAAGTTCTCTGCCGCCCCGCCCGGCCCCTTGCCGAACCCGGTGTAACGATGCGGTTCTGGCGGGACCTAATGGAGAGTGCCAATTCAGGACAAATCACTTAAAACAGGGCAGTTACAGCCCTAGGCTGGGGTTTTTCCACCTCTAAGGCAAACCAAACCAGCCAGATAAAGAGGACTTTGGTCTCACCCCACTGGCTAACCACAAGTCACACAAGCAATTCCCTTAGACACTCCAGTTTCCCAGTATCACCACCAGTGCCACTCGTTATGGGGACGAATGGTTATGAAAACCAATACCCCAGTAAAAGAAAAAAGGTTCTCCCGATCCCAAAGGATCAAGCCCCAGACCCAGGTCAATATACAAATCAGATCTTACCCACAAATCACGCTGTTGCCAATCCTTTAGCATCTAAAATCTAAAGGTTTATTCATAAAAGGAAAAAGATAGAGATGAGAGCTAGAATTGGTTAAATGGAATCAATTACATACAGTAATGGAAAAGTTCTTGGTTCAGGCTTGTAGCAGTGATGGAATAAACTGCAGGTTCAAATCAAGTCTCTGGAACATCCCCAGCTGGGATGGGTCACCAGTCCTTTGTTCAGAGCTTCAGTTTGTAGCAAAGTCCCTCCAGAGGTAAGAAGCAGGATTGAAGACAAGATGGAGATGAGGCATCAGCCTTTTATAGTCTTTTCCAGGTGTAAGAACATCTCTTTGTCCTTACTGTGGAAAATTACAGCAAAATGGAGTCTGGAGTCACATGGGCAAGTTCCTGCATACTTTGCTGAGTTGCAAGGCGTATCTGCCTTCTCTCCATGGGTCAGTTGTGTAGCTGATGGTCCTTAATGGGCCATCAAGCAGGCTAGGCAGAGCTGACACCAACTTGTCTGGGATGTTTCCCAGAAGCATAGCATAGGTTTGAAATACAGACAGTATAGAGCCAATATTCATAACTTCAACTACAAAATTGATGCACACATATAGACAGCATAATCCTAACCAGCCAACCATAACCTTGTCTTAGACACCTCATTTGACCCCCTTTATACAAGATTTGGTGCCACTACAGGACTTTGGTTGCAACAATGATCTATATGGTCCCAGATTATATCAATAACATCACACCCGGGCACTTTGGCTACCTTGATCCCTGCTCTGGGCTCGGTCGCTGGACTCTGCAGCGGTAGTTCTGGCTCCCTGGTTGGACGTGTGGCACTTCCAGAGAAGAGGGGGGGCTCTGGGAGGGCGTGCAGAGCTCCCGGCCCCTGGCACGGCTGCTCCCCCAGCCCTGCGGGGAGTGTGAGAGCTGGATCCGGAGCTCCCAGCGCTGTGCTGAGGAGCGGGGGCTGATTCCCGAGTCCCCTCTGTGAGATGACACTGGTGCCGCTCTGTTGATCTTGACGGCCCTGCTCCTGGGTCGCCCCAGCGGGCGAGAGATCAGAACGGGCCCCGCTGAGCCCCGGCTTTACCGGGGCGCCTGTCTCCTGCTCCCGGAGCCCCGAGTCCAGGGCCGGTTAACCCCTCCCGTGCTGGCAGGCGTAGCCGTGGAGGGCTGGGAGGGACGGCGAGGGGTCAGAGCGTCGCAGGCTGGGATGCTGAGAAGGCACACGCTCCTTTCTCCCCATGATGTGAATGCAGCATCTGGGGCCTGGCCTCTCTTGCGATGCTCAGATGAGTAACAAACGCTGCTCCTGTTTTTGGACGCAGCTTTTCAAGCAGGAACCGTCGCGTTAGGTCACCTGCTACTTCTCTGGTGTCCCTGGTTGGCTCCCCCGTCCCGTGTGCCGAGAGGCGATGGGTGAGCCCGTCGGCACTCGATCGGCACGCTGACTCCTCCAGCCTCGCCCGCCAAGCCGCGGGGCTCCGAACCCAGGAAGCGAAGCTGTGAGTAGCGATGTCGCCCCCTAGCGAGCGGCTGCAGCTACACGGAGGATAAAAGCCCTACTACTGGGGCGTTCTCTCGCTAGCTCCAAAGCGCCGCGGCTCTGCTCCCAGGGCTGCGGGTCGGGAGTGAGGGGCCAGTGGCTTTGTTACAAAGGGCTGCTGGAGGCCGGGTTGCTTCCCCACGTGAGTCAGGCTGTGCCCAGGGGACTGCCGGAGCCGGGGAGCGCCCCTGGGCTGCCCTGGGTGGGGCGTGCGTGCTGGGGAAGGAGCTGTGTCCGATCCACAGCTGATTGAAGTCAGTGGAACGGCGCTGATTCATGCCAGCTGGGGGTCTGGGCCACTCTGGCTTTTGGGGTGACCCCCCAAAATCCAGGGGCTTTGGAGGTAGCAGACCTGAGTGGGGAGGGGTCTGGCCTCAAGTGGCTGGCACTAGGGGCATCTTACCCACATCTCTTAGGCTTGTGCTGTGTCTGTCACTGTGGTCTCTGTGCAAACTACCCCCCCTCCCCGCAACCCTGCAAAGGCGCAAAAAAGAGAGGAACGTTTGGTTCAATGTTATTGGGTGGCACTTGTAACGTCCCAGCCAGCGCAAGCCACCTGTCCCCTGGGGCCCGGCCCGGCCTCTGCCCAGATGGCCCGAAATCTGGCCCAGCTGTTTGGTGGCTGGGCTGGAGTTCTGGATGCCCACACCAAGGTTATGCAGGGAGTGTGTGGATCAGCCCTCTGCTGGGCCCTTGTGAATGGAGGGGGCGTTCTCCCCTGCTCCATCGGGGGGCGCTGAACAGCGCAACAGGGTGCGGCCGGGGCAGAGGTTTGCACGGGGGAAAGGGGGCGGAACTCGCTGGAGGGTGGGCGGGCTCACGCCGGCCGCGGGGGAAGGGTGGGACTCAGAGGGTGAGAAACGCCTGCGTCCCTCGCCGGAGTTGGAGGACGTGGCCTCAGTTTCCCCAAGCAGTCGCCGGCGCTAGAACCTTAAAGAGGGGAGAACCAGCCGGTGGCGAACACCCAGGTGCGGTGCGTAGTGCCCCTTTAAACAGTCTGTGGGTCCCCGGGCGGCGCTTACTGTGTGCCTGGCTTCAGGTCTCATCCTCACTGCCTGCTGCTGTGTCTTGGCTCTTTACAGAACAAACCTGAAGCAGCCGTAGGGGCACCGGGGGGCGCCGGGCTGGTAACCGAGGGCACTGACCATCCACACCAGGCCAGGCCTGGCTGTGCACACGCGGCTGCTCTGCCTGGCGTCCGGGAGCTGCAAGAACGTGGGACACACTGAGTACTGCCCGGGGGCTCACAGACTGTTTAAAGGGATCCCTCCCGATTTCTAGGCGCTCCACGCGTGCGTAAGGCGGCCTCCCTGTCCCCAGTTTGCTGCCAGAGGAGCAGGGGGGAGGGGTGTGGCTGGAAGTCAGAACAATTCCCCAGAGCTAGCGCTATGCCCATTTACACCTGCTGAGGATTTGGCCCATAATCTTTTCCTCATGTAGCAGAGAGTTCCACAGGTTAATTGCGCTGCATAAACAAGCGATTCCCTCTGACCCTGCTGTTCAGTGGTGTTGCCTTTTTCTTATTCTTGGGATTGATCTAACCCCTCGGGGGTCAGACTCCACGCTCACCTGAGCACGGGGGGCGGGGTGGGGCAGATACTCAGCTGGTGCAAATCAGCATCTTCCACCGACCCCAGGGGAGCTGCACCAGTTTGCTGAGGAGCTGTGTTTATGTTCTGCGGGAATGGGAGCCAATCCATTGTGCTACTAGAGGGGAAACTGAGGCACGGGGTGGTGAAATGACTTGCCCGAGGTTGCTGACAGAGGCAGTGGCAAAGGCTAGGTAGAGCGCTGGGACTCTGATGTCTGTGGTACTCAGTCCGTTGCTGGTAGCGGGGGCGGGTTGCTCCGAGGGTTGGAGCCCGGCCGTGGGTGACTGACCGCTCTCCTCTCTGTGCCCCCACAGCCCGAGGACCTGGAGGCCCCCTCCTCCCACACATTCAAGGTGAAGAGCTTCAAGAAGGTGAAGCCATGTGGGATCTGCGGGCAGGCGATCACGCGGGAGGGCAGCACCTGCCGAGGTGAGTTCACAGGCTCCAGCGCGACCGGGGAGTGGACTGGGCCTGGGCCAAGCTGCCTGGTGCTGCGTGGCGGCCGCCGTGAGATGAGCTGGGGAGGTCTCAGCCCAGTTCCCAATGGAGGAGAGGAGAGCCCAGAGCCGGGACCACAGCCAGGCTGGTGATGTGATCAGAGGGGCTAAGAAGGGAGCGACTCCGTTGGGGCGGGGCACGTGGGAAGCTTCTCCGGTCGCTGTCTCTGCTGCGGGATGACCTGGGGGCATCAGTGTCCAGAGCTGCCAGTCTCCTTCCACTGGCGTCAGACTCCCATGTGGCACCACCGCGTGCCTGGGAGCATCTAGCCCTGGGCCAGCTCTCTCCAAAGTCCATTGATGGACCTCGCCTCCAGGAACTTCTCTCATTCTTTTTAGAGCCCGGCGACGCTTTTGGCCTTCACACCATCCCCTGGCAATGAGTTCCACAGGCTATGTCATAGAATATCAGGGTTGGAAGGGACCTCAGGAGGTCATCTAGTCCAACCCCCTGCTCAAAGCAGGACCAATCCCCAGACAGATTTTTGCCCCAGATCCCTAAATGGCCCCCTCAAGGATTGAACTCACAACCCTGGGTTTGGCAGGGCAATGCTCAAACCACTGAGCCTTCACTCCTCCCCTGCCCCATTCTGTCTGATTTTCTATCCCTTTCCTAGTTCTTCTGAGCACGCTGCTAGCCTTTTTGACGGCTGCCGCGGATTGAGCTGAAGTTTTCGGAGAACTACCCACGGTGACTCCAAGATCTCTTTCTTGGGTGATCACAGCTCATTCAGACCCTGGTCTTGTCCGGGTCGCGTTGGGATTATGTTTTCCAATGTGTGTTATTTTGCACGTATCAACATTGAATTTCATCTGCCTTTTTGTTGCCCAGTCACCCAGTTCTGTGAGATCCTCTTGTAGCTTTTTGCAGTCTGCTTTGAACTTCACTATCTTGAATAATTTTGTATCATCTGCAAACTTTGCCACTACGCTGTTCACCCCTTTTCCCAGGTCATTTATGAATATGTTGAACAGTGCTGGTCTCAGTACAGACCCCTGGGGGACACCACCATTTACCTCTCTCCACTGTAAAAGCTGACCATTTCTTCCTACCCTTTGTTTCCTGTCTTGTAACCAGTCACTGATCCATGAGAGGACCTTCCCTCTTATCCCACACATGCTTACTTTGCTTAAGAGCCTTTGGTGAGGGACCTGGTCAAAAGCTTTCTGGACATCCAGGTACGCTAGTTCCTCTGGATCACCCTTGGACACACGTTTGTTGACCCCCTCAAAGAATTCTAATAGATCGGTGAGGCGTGATTTCCTTTGACACAGACCGTGTTGACTCTTCCCCAGCAGATTGTGTTTAGTTACATCACTGATAATTCCACTCTCTACCATCCTTTCAGCTGCTTAGCCTGGCATTGAGGTGACGCTCACCGGCCTGTAAGTGCCAGAATCGCCTCTGGAGCCTTTTGTAAAAATTGGTGTCACGTTAGCTACTCGCCCGGCCTCTGATGCAGAGGCTGATTTCAATGTGGTGACATTGCAGTTCTCCGGGCTGGCCACAGGGTGGCACCCCAAGTCTCTGCATCAGGGAGGGCTGTGGGTGCGGCTTGCTGGCCAGGGCTGGATAAAGGGGGCTGCACCTCTCTGGAGCAGGAAGGGGCTGTGTGTGGTGTGCTGGGCTGGGATACCCCTCCCAGGGATCTTCCCAGCTGCTCAGCCCCTAAGAACCATCTTGGCTACGCCCAGCCTTCACTGGGCACTAGGGGGCCAGACCTGGGGACTGGGGTGGGTAATTCCCCTTGTCCATCAGTGACTACGTGGCCAGCGGGGATTCAAGGCCCCCTCCCTGAGCCCGGGAGGGGTCTGGGGTGGCGGGGGGATCCTTTGCCCCCGGCCGTGTGCCCTCTCTGGGGTGAGGCTCCGTCTCCCTGCGGAAGGGGCAGAGAGAGCAGGAGGTGGGGTGGGGATGAACCAGCTGGGCCTACATGGGGCAGGGCCGATGAGCCCCTTAGCTCGGCCCTGGCTTCTCCCTCCGGCAGCGCTGGGGGGATCCGAGAGACTGGAGCTGCCTCGACCTCGTCCTGTGCTCAGCGGATTCCTTTCTGTGGGTTCCCAGCACGGCACGGCCTCGAGTTATCGCTAGGGAACCTCAGCAGGGCCAAGGGCCAGGGGCTGTTTCACAAAGGGCTTGTGGGCTGAGGTCCTGACCGGATGTCCAGGGGAGCTGGTAGGCTCCGGCCCGGCAGCGGTGAACACAGCCCGGGACACCGACACAGCGGCTCTATCTCTTCCTCGGCCTGAATCTCCCTGGAGGATGGGCAGGGGGGATCCGCGCAGGTGGCACTGGAGACCCTAGTGCCGAGAGGCTGGTGGGGGTCGCTTGACTGAAGGTGGAGGCAGTTAGATCTTGGAGACAAGTGTGCCGAGACGCAGCTCTCGTTAGAAGAGGAGCAAGGGGGGGGGTCTGGTCTCTCTGCCCGGGGCTCCCTTCGCCTGGGCCGTTCCTTGGGTGCTGAGCTGCTGTGTCGCGCGGGTGTGTGAAATGCTTCCCTAGAGCCGAGGGTGGAGAGGCGGGCTGGAGGGGGCTGCTGGGGGCGGAGAGGCGGGCTGGAGGGGGGCTGCTGGGGGAGGGCGGGGGTGGAGAGGGGGGCTGGAGAGAGGCGGGCAGGAGGCTGGCAGAGGGCCCTCAGCTGCTGGGGTGACAGGCCGCAGCGGGAACGCTACTTTCCCTGTGTAAATCAGACAAGATACTCTAGGCTGATGCGTTCCCCAATTCTGCCCCCCACCTGCCAGCCCAGCCCTGCCCCAGGCAGAGAGTCCCAGCCACTCCTTGCAGCACCCAGAGGGGAAAAGGAACCAGGGTTTACCCCCCATGTCCTGGGGACCCCAGGGTGCCACTGCCCCTGTGTAGCATTGGGTACCAGTGGGGGTGCAGGGGAAAATCCCCCCGGAAGACAGGGTTGGGGGATCCCATTGAACCCCCCAGGCTGTGAGCGAGCCCAGCGCTACCCCGACTCCTGCCTCTGCCTGTGGAGGCCCTGGAGGGCAGGCGAACCCGCCCGGCTCCTCTCCGAGGTGCTGGTGCAGTAGGGGGGAGGGGGGGAGCGAACAGCCGCGCAGCGTCCCGGGGGCGCCCGCGTCCCGCACCAGCCTCATGCTGGGTAAGAGACCTCAGGTCACGGGGACAAAGGGGTGGGAATGCCAGCCTCACGGTCCCCCCCAGGGGCGTCAGTGCCCAGCGGGGGTCTCCGTGGGGGTGGGGCCCTTGGCACAGGAACGCAGGCTCAAGTGACCGACGGGCTGGGGGGTGGGTCTGGGCTCGTCCCATTGGCTGCTGTCTCCATGGGGTCACAGAGCTCAGACCTGTTCTGGGGGACCCATCCTCAGCCAGGGAAAACCCTTCCCCGCAGTGGGTTCTCAGACCCAGGGACAGTCCCTCTCCCGTGGGGGCTGCTCTCCGCCCAGTGCCCCTTGCCGGGGAATCACCCCCCGTTTTCCTTTGCTCACCCCCCCTCCGCCCATTAGCCTGGTCCCACCCCCACTACCCCCCCCCCCCCCCTTCTTGATCTCGGTGCCCGTCAGAGCCCCCAGCTGGTCCCTCGGGTTCCCTGGGCCAGGACGGTGCCCGGCACAGCCTCACCCCACCATGAGGCCTGTGGGGAACACGATGCCCCAGGTGGGGTGGCTGCAGGGCAGGGATTGACCGTGAAATTTCAGGGGCTTCAGGCGCATCGCTGGGCAGCCTGGCCGGAGAGAGCTGGGTCTGTTCGCTCCAAGGCCCAGAAACCACTATGTGCTCCAGCCACCCTGCGCGTGGGGCGCAGAGCGGCTCCCCTGAGCTCGCAGGCCAGGGCCGAGGTGATGCCCGGGCCTAGCGATCTTTGCTCCGGCCGCTGCTGGTGAAGTGCTGGGAGTTCGCCAGCGGGAAGGCGCTATGGGATCACAAGGGGTGTCCGCAGCCCCCCCGCTAATTGGCCAGCTGGGATCTGTCGCTGCATTTAGGGACCTGGTCCTGCCCGGAGCAGAGCACCGCTGCCCACTGGGGCAACGGGCAGGAGCCCTGGGGAGGTGGGAGCGGGCAGCATGGCCCTGTCAGCTGGCACGAACTGGGGGAGATCAAAGCAGAGAAGGGGTACGGAAGGGAGAGGAGCCCCGTCACGGCCCCCACCCCACGGGGGGGGGAAGCCAGCATGGCTCTATGTGGCTTACTCCCTTGGGTGGGCGCTGTCAGCGGAGACATTTCAGACCCCGATCGATCCTCCCCCGGTGTGACCCTCCTGGTTGGACCCCACAGAGCCCCGACGGCAGGACTGGGGCCTTGGCATGTTCAGTGCTGCCTCGGAGCCAGCAGGGGGCGCTCACACATGGATTTGATGGTCCCCCCCCCATGGTAGCCAGTTTAACTATTTGTTTTCCTGTCGCGGCCGAGTGGCGGGCGTGGGGCGGGGTACCAGCGGGCGTCCCCCAGCACATTGAAAAGCAGGTTGGGATTGGAACGCAGGAAGAGAAGACCCAGGGTGGGGCTTGTCCTGCGGGCGTGGGCAAGTCACTTCCGTGCATACCTCACTTTCCCCAAGTGAGAAGGAGGGACAGTAATGCTGACCTGTGGCAGAGTGAGGAGTGTTGAGTGCTGGTTTATAACTAGGCAGGCGTTAGCAGCGTGTTCCTTCCCTTGGGCAAGTCTTGTTTTTTCCCGTCTTTAGAAAAATGTTGTCACCAGCAGAATCCTGCTGCCCGTGTCCAAAGAGGTCCCACAGCAAAGGGGCTTTATACACTTAGGGGAATAATAAAATGAGTGAGCAGATCTCTAAAATAACAAGATTTCCCTTCCCTTCCCTCCAATCTTCTGCACAGTCATACACTGTTCCCGCTACTCACCTACAGCACCTCTGGAAACCTCTTCCCAGGACTTTACATGTTGTGGTGACTCCGTTTTAACTGTTCTCCACCCATCCCAAACAAAGGCTACCTAAAAAAACCTCC